CAACCACTACTCATCTCAAGAAACTTTGCTATCTGTCGATAGCAAAACAATCTTCATTCAAAACTATGTGAACACCTGCATATTTTACTTTTAGTTGTCAAAGCACACAATACTTCAACGTTGTCTTTGACCTCAGCACCCTTGCACTCTTGCTTGCATTAAAGTATCTCAATTCCAGCATGAATATTAACTGTAGTTGATTAACATACATATGAATATGCATATTCTATATATATTCTTACATGCTATTCATTCAAAGAGGACTTTATGGTCCATATTTTTTTATAATGTGGAGTTTTTGGACCTCATGAATATCAATAAGAATCACAGTTATTTATGTATATGTGGTTACGCATGCACTCATACTCAGATATCTAATTCAAAACTGTAATTGACTCCAATTCTGTTTGTCAATGTCCACTCAAGGAAAAGTTATTCTGTTGTCACTCAGTCACAGTACCTTGATTACTTTCAATTGACATTTCACGACCTTCTTTTTAAAAGCACTCTTCTTTTCAAAGTTCAACAATTCTAAGGATATGATTATCTTTCATACATTAGCTCAATGCTATCTAAATATGGGCAATATTTAAATTACCAGATAAATGACCAATCCTGACAATATCAGCTACTTCTGGAGTTAATTATTTAGCACTTTCTTATGAGCATATTATCTGGTATGTAGTTTTTATTGGATGGACTCTCTTGCAAAGAAGAGAAGATCAATGGATCATAAACACATACCTAAACTGTGTTCACTGTGTTCAGTGTATTCAGGTAAATTCAGAATATAGTAATTCTACTAATCAAGAATGGGATGAATAGAAAGCTCATACTCTGAGAGCTGAAAGAGGTGGAAAAATCACATCCCTATAGTCTTAGGATAACAGTGAAAGGGGGAAGAGGCATGTTCTGATTTTTTTTCTTTGAAATTTTTCTCTTCCCTAACTGCCTCCCATGACTTTGGATTAGTTCTTCATGAGCAAAGTCCCCTGCTGGGCAGACAAATCAAGAAAAAAAAATGTTCAGTTGAAGAGCAGGAACAGGAACACACAGAATTTTTTCCATTATCTGCTCATCTTCACTGCAACCCTGTCATTCATCAAGGTTTATGCAATCTGCCAAACACATAATTTTAGTGCATATTCATTAAATCTGTTCAGTAAGTTCATCAATGAGATACTTGAGTAATTTGTACCATTTTGTAGGTGGAAAGATTGTCTTGATAGACTTCTAACTTTCTATTAAAAATGTGTTGATATTAATAAAACGAAGCCATATTCCAAAATTTATTTTTCTATCTAAAGAATAACTAACAATGAAATCACTTTCATTAGAGCCTCTTACTATTTCAAACACAAGCATCCATAAAAATGGATGTCAACAGCGTCCACATTAGGGAAACAACACTTTTATATGTAGGACCCAACAGAAGCAGAAAACATGCAATAGCTGTCCAAGTGTTGATTTTAGAAACGTCACTATGTTACACGAGATTAGGTTAAAAAAAAAAAAAAAAAAAAGTAAAGAATGAGGCTGCCTACTCCTACAGGAAAGAGCATGTTATAAAAATATTTTCCCAGCTTGGTGTTACTACCTCAAAGAAATTCTGTTCTACAATATTATTATGCCATAAGCACCAGGTGGCACTATAATACAGTCCTACATATCCAAAAAAAAATATATATATATATATTCCTTAGCTTTGTGAAAATGTTCTGTGCCATTCAAACTCTTATTCAACTTGCATAGAAAAACTGGTGTAGAGATCTGGGGATACATCTGAAATGTCTTTATCCATGATGCCACAGTATTTATTTTCAATCCTGAAAACAAGAAGAATTCCATGGGTGCTGTTTGATATCCCTGTTCCATAGCCGCTTTTTCCATAGTATCAGTCATGGTGTGGATACTTAAAAATTCTTTTTTTTCTTTTGCTAAGAAGCAAAGACTATTTGCTGTTGCCCAGCAGAGAAGATATAGTAGAGAAGAAAAAGTGCAAATATCAACCTGTAACCATTTATTAAACTAGGATAATCCTCTAGATAAAACAAATTATATATAAATTATGTAGAATAGTAAATAATATTATACAGTTATCCTTATTATTTCTTATATTGCTTATACCAACCAAATATGTTTCTAACTTTCATGGTTGATTCTACATTTCAATTTTCTTGGTCTTCAGTTTAGCAAAGAACTTCAGGACACTGAAATGAGCCTCTCCATTCCAGCAATTCATGGCAAATGAATCAGAGGCTAAGAGAATGTCAGTTCTTTGCAAACTTTTTGCAACATATTTTAAGAGAATGAAAATACAGCTCCTGAATTTTTTGCTGTATCTCTAATCCTGTATCCTAGAAACACAATATTGCCATTACTCGTTACAGAAGAGTGTGTTTTCACGACCTCAGGGCTGATGCTTGTCAGACTTCCTTTGGGTTCACTTCTCTGCCCCTGCCTGGATCTTTGGTTTTAGTCGTATTAGTTCTAACATCAAATTTTCTTCTGACCAGGGGGCTGTGGCTAATTTTACAACCACAGTGTATATAATAACATAACAGATGCAGTAACAAGTTCCTATGCTGTACAGATTGAAATATTTATGACTAAAATAATGGTGCAGTATAAAGAAAGACTGGTCTGGTATGATATAGCAAAGCCCTTGAGGAAAGAGGATAAAGGATGCTGTGAAGAGGACACAGGCATGGAATGCCAAGATATCAGGCACACACTCAGCCCTGAAGAACCCATGGCTCTAAACCCACCCAAGATCAATTAAAGAACCTGAAGCTGGACAAAATCAGATCTCAAGTGTAACAAGGAAAGAGTAATTAACCTATGCAGAATATAGCATGTATAGCAAACTTTGATGTAAGACTGAGCTGCAGATCAATGAAGAAAGATGAAGATGTAGAAGCATATTAGAAAATTTAAAAATAGTTCCAGGTGAATCAAGGAGAGCAAGCGAAGGGAAAAAAAAAAAAATCACATTCCTCCCAGAGAAACACTCTAAATGCTGACACTGCAGCACACACCACCAAGACCAGACTGTCAGAGCCCACAGAACCCAAGGAAGTGGAAGGAACCAGAAAGCAAAAAAAAAAAAAAAAAAACAAAAAAAACAAAAAAAACTTTAGAAACCAGGATGTTTAAGAATATGTATAAGAATTTTAACTAAACTTCTCTGTACAGAAGAGGTATTGATTTATTTCTGTCATTCCTCCTCCATTTTTTCCACACTAATTACATCTGGACTAATCAGGATGCTTGGATATTACTGTTAAGATTTTAAACACTCTACAAATTCTTAGCTGTATGAGGTGTGTTTCCCTTTTACCTATAGCAAGGATTTGAGAGCAATGCATCCTACTCATAAAATTCTACAGTCGCAGAGATAGTTTCTAAAAGACTGGGTAGCTTTGGTAATTAAAGCATGAGAGGTCATAAGAGGATTATGGCACTACTTTGACAACATAATGAACAATAATTTTTAGTTAGAGTTAAATGCCTATCCTGGTAACCTAGGATAGCACATGAAATAGAGTTGCATTCTTTGTCCTGTTATTTTTTGTAATTGAATATACATTTGCATGAGAAAAGATACAACACAACTCTTATGTTTTTTGGAAAATATGCAGTGTCTGGTAAGACTAGAGCTATATTTTCATGAAGAAGTTAATGATGACAACTGTGCTAGTGGAGACAGGTCTACTTCTGTATTACACTTCTTTGGGGATTTCATCACACAGCTCTATCAACATGGCAGCTTTTATAAGCATTACATTCACAGGCCAACTTTTACAAAGCATCTTCAGATAGCATTTCATATACATTTTATAAAATAAAACCCAAGAGCTAATAAAAGGAAACTGGCAACGCAGCTGTAACATGACTTTTTTTTTTTTTTTTTCCTATTTCTAAATTCCTATTACAGATTATTGATGAAGTGGATATTCACTGAGTCCTAAAGACATTTCCACTCTGTAATAGCTCTTCATTATAAAATATTGCTAAGATAGACCCTTCAAATCAAAAATAGTCAGTTGAAGGGCAAACATTCCAAAAGCATAAGTCATATCAAGTGATGCCACATGCTATGTATTGTATCCAAATTGCACTAAACTGGTAGTTTTGGTGCACATTTGAATACACAAACACTTTATTAAAAAAAAAAAAAAAAAAAGGTTTTAACAGCTAAAGCAACACTAAACTTTAGGGTGGTGGTGTGTGCCTTTTGTTAGTATAGGATATAAGAGGCCAAGTTTTCATATTCCTTTCTCTTGGTCAAGTCTGGAAACATGTCAAACATGTCTGTAGTTCCAGCTCCAGCAATAAGAAGGGCAATCAAGAGGAAGAAAACAAAAACAGTGCTGTGGAAATTCATGACTTGCCATTTGTGTTGTGAAGGGTAAATAAAGTCAGTGATATACTGACTTTACTATATACTATATAGTGATATACTATAGGTGAAGAAATAATGTCAGTTCTCAAAGCAGTATCAAAACAGGGCCCCACCTATGAAGGCTTGAATTCCACTCTCACTCTAAAGACTCATTTTTTAAAAAAAAAACATAAGACAAAGGTATAAATTAAAAACTTAGTCACCAAATATATAAGGTCACTTAAGCGACTTCATTATTATTAGTTAACAATGTGAAGTACTAAGAAAAAAACTGGTATAACTTCAAATTATTCTTTAACTTCCTGATATGAATGGAAGAAAAGTCATCGTATTATTATTCCATTCATACAGGAAGCCTATTATAACATAACATGAACTCAGCTATGTTTGTCATTTAAAGGGGTCATAATATTATTAAATATATAGTTATGTAATATTTCTCTCCAAGACCTATGGATGATAACTTGTCTAGAATGGATCATTTTTACTTTCATTTTTTCTACTCAATATGGAGCTAAACTCAGTTTCATCTGTGAAATTTACATTCCTACCCAGGAATGGGGTTCTATATTAGTTCTATATTAACTAAACAATCATATTTTCAGTGACAGAAACTGACACACAGACACTTAGTTTCTATATGCAACCAATTCACTATATGAGAGCTTGAAGATAACCTGCTGGTTCAGCAAGAGACATACAGCTTATAAAGTCGATAAAAAAAAAATGTTCTTGAACAAAATTGGCAGATTTGCCCCATTAATATGCAAGGCACCAGACATAACTGTGGGACCAAGGATTTAAATTCTGCTAGCAGCTACACTTGTTTTTGAAATTATTTATCAGTTACCATTTTGCCTGTTATTTTAGCAGTGCCATGCTAGGTGTGAATGATGGTTTAATTTACAACCACAACTACATCTCAAATGGAAGAGGTCACATTGCTTCTTCAGTGTAAGAAGCACTCATTAATATGCCAGAGAAATTCTGACAATAAAATTGCAGAAGATGGTCATTGTAGTGATTCATTTCTTACTCAATTGAATAAGAAGATGCTCCCTAGCATAATATTGTATTATACCCAAAGGAAGTTAGCCCAAGGACTAGTTGCCCCTGCATGTTCTATCTTTGCATTAAAAAGCACTCCATTCTCTGGAGAAAACCTAGTCAAATATATTACCAATTCTCTATGACTGTGACCTGGCAGAATCTAAAATCCCAAATACTGATAAAACTTTCACTAAACAGGGAATAAAGGGCACTAAAATGACAAATCAAAGGAATCTTTGGCTATAATCCTTTGAAAAGTCTTTTGCTAAAACCTATTACAAATGTCTGTGTTGTATATCTGCTCAAAAATTCAATCAGCCATTTCTTGCATTTCTGCTAACCTGCAGACTTCATTTAAATCCTGCTACTAGATAAGTGCCACATATAACCTGCTCGCTCTCTCTTCTACCTCCTCTTTTTCACGCAACTGGAGCTTCCAGCCCTGACACCAAACACAGACACAGCAGGAACAAAATGGCATTCTAAACAGAAGAAATGCCTCACAGATCATTCAGTTTCCAAATGGAGCACGCGCAGCCAACTTTCCAGTCCCTGTAGCCACAACAACATCTGGGCTGCATAAGGTAGGACATTGCCAGCAGGTGGAAGGAGGTGATTCTTCTTCTGCATCCTTCCCCTCAGTCTTGGTGAGGCTACATCTGAAGTGCTGGGTCCAGTTCTGGGCTCCCCAGTACAAGTGAGACATTGAACTACTACAGGGAGTCCAGCAAAGGACCACTAGGATGATTAAAGCATCTAGGATGACTGAAACATCCATTTCTCATAAGATGAGAGGCTGAGAGAGCTGGGACTGTTCCGCCTGGAGAAAAGGAAACTCAGATGGTATCCTATCACTGTGTATAAATATTAAATAGAGGAGGAGTAAAGATGGAGGGAAAGGACAGGAGGCAGTGGGCACAAACTGAAACACAGGAAATGCCACTCAAGCATGTGAGAGAGCTTTTATTAAAAAAAAAAAAAAAAATTGCCCGGGGATGATGGGGAGCCTGAATCATCCAAAATACTCAAAACCCAACTGGACATTGTCCTGGGAAAGCCTGGTCCAGGCGACCCTGGTGCAGCAGGAAGGTTAGTCCATATGATCTCCAGAGGTGCCTTCCAACTCCAGTAACTATATTTCTATATTCCTTTGTGGTCACATCAGTAAAAATTTATTTTTTTTAAGAGTATGTGTACATGAGCAGTTTGTCACAGTGTTTTAAGGTGAAAACCCATACTTGACAAAGAGTAGGGACACACACTGGTATTGAAATACTGAATGCTTTCAAAAGTGAAACCAAGCAGACCTCGGTCACCAGGATTCACAAAGTGTAAAGCATTGCTAAGAGGTTGAAAAGGTCAGTTCAATCTGGCAGCTAGGAATAAGCGAAGACATTACCACTCAAACAATTAACTCTTTTCAAGGCATAAACAGTTTCTGGTCCCCTAATTATTAGTTTATAACTCTAGGTTATACAAAGTACTAAAAAGAAAAAAATATTAATAGACAAGGTTAATATTTTATATATATATATATACACACACACTACCTGATAGCCAAATGTGTTGTTCTGTGATCCATGTCTTGGAACTCCTGGATTTTCACATGCTGTGCGAGTAGGTTCTTGAAGATATAGATAAATGAGAAAACAAATAACAATAATTTAGTAAAAAAAAAAAAATCTTTACATTTTTTTCCCCTCTAACAATAACCTGTAAGCTAAGGAATCAAAAATAAGGTGCTTTGATTTCTACAGATATAGAATAGCACCATGAAACCTCAAAATAGCTGAAAACTCCTAGATTGACTGGGCAGATAAAGAACAATAAGATTTCAAGAAATTTCAGTGTTATGAATGTCACTTTACCTATACATCGAGGAGAGGATCCACTCCACATGCCATCTGCTTGACAAATCCTAGTGCTGGAGCCAACCAAAATAAAAGGAGGATTGCAGCTGAAAGAGACTTCTGACTGATAGATGAAGCTCTTGCCTTCTCTTTTTCCCTGAGCAGGTACTCCAGGGTCACCACAAAACTTTGCTATGAGAAAAGACATGATAGAAAAGGCATTTATTAAATATATATTATTATATATTAAAATATATAAAAATAACACTTGCATGAACATTATTAGCAATAAATAAATACAGAAGCATTTGATATCAGTTCAATGAGAGACTAGAGACCTAAGTATGCTTCAGTGTCCAATAGTTTTGCTAGCTGTTTAAAAATGCCTAAGTAGCAGGATTGGTCAGTAGCTTGAAGCTGACCCTTCATCCATGCAAGAGTCTTTTTTTAAAAAAAAAAAAAACAAAGCACAAATTATCAATATTTCATCTCTGTCCCAACTCCTCAAGCATCAGCCTACAAACCTTCGTGTAGAGAATAGAGAGTGTACCAAACCTTTATTTAGCCTTGTTTCCTGCCCTCTACTCTTTTCAGCCTATTGTTCTATATTTCTATACAATTTAAAGGATTTATCAAACAGATTTTTAATTTTTTAATTTCTTACAGCCTCCTCCTTCGCCGAGGGATACAATTTGGTGTTTACATAAGTACAACACTTGAAAGTTATTACAGATAATAAGAGAAAGTGCACATGAGCACACCATATATATAAAACATTAAACAAAAATTTCAGCCGAAGCAATCTAAAAGTCAAATATTAATAAGCTTTTATCGGAAGAAATAAATCTGATGTTAAAAACATATTGTTTGATTAGTATTTTTACTTTACACCTAACTCCTCAGAGATTCCTTATGCCTATAACGCAGCAGAAAGAACTAGGTGCACTGCTGACAAATTTACTGGTCTTCTTCTGCCATATAAATTACTGAATATTGTCATAAGCTGCATTCTGAATAATTGATTCAGGAAATGTAATCAGCTATGGTAAATCCTGTGCCATCAGATTACATTATTCCTTGACACACCACGAATTCTAATATGGTACAGTCCAATTATATGCCAACAAGAAAATATTATAATAAAAATGAAAAAAAAGAGAGATTTGCTTAAAGACATATATCTACAGGACATGTGTAAGCACAGCAGAAATTTCAGCTCAATATTCCTCTCCACAAAAAAAGTTATAATCACTTCTCATTGTCATCATTCTCATCACTTCTCAATTCACATTTCTAATTCTTTTATCTTTGTTACCTAGGTCTTTAGCTTTCCGAAGTATCTGATCACATGAAATGCTCCTGCTCTCTACCTGTCAGTGTGGAGAATGAATGACAGTATAGGAAAAACCTTAATCTACAGCAAATCAGAAATATATACAATTTCATGGTTTATAGCAGATGGGATTGTCTGCAAAATTATAGTCTGGCTTCCAAAAAGATCTGTGAACTGAGAGTTGTGTTGCAGTGAACCTCATTACCTAAGGTGGTAATGTAGCAAACACTCTCAAGGAAATAAATAATAAACTCACATTAAAATACTGTTTTGGTGAGCTGATTAAATTTTTATAAAAATAAATGAAGTCTATCACTCATTTGTGGCAGAGATATCATCTTTACTCAGTTTGAAATACCTGCTAACTGCCTTTTATATAGGTAACCATAGAAACCAGGCACCATGGTAATTCACAGCAGTTTTGTGTCCATTACTGAAAGAGGGGACTATAGTATGTACTGAGTTACAGCAGACTCGAGGTTCTGTGAGACCTCCTATTCCCAGGGGAAAAGTTTTTCTAAGGATTCTGAGAGCCTTTATTAAAGGTAAGGCAGTGGAACTCAGGCACTGAGTTGGGAGGTTGCATTAGATTCAAATGGAGCACTAAAGAAAGAAATGAAAAAATATTCCTACCACCTTGGAAAATTTCTGAACACTTTGCTCAACTTTCCTACCTTCTACAACTTCATTCCTCAAAGAAGTTTAATTGAGGAACGATAATTAAAACTGTAGCTAAGCTGCTTCTGGCATAGCCCTGTAGTTTCATTTGCTTTCTATTGGCAAGCTTATGAACACTGTATTTATCTACCGGTACAAGATGCTATACTATTAATTAGACAAATTTACTAGATCACAGATGACAAATAGCCCGCCAAACACTTGATCGTATTTCATTCTGAACTGTTACTCTGTGTCTTAGTTCCACAACAATAACTCCATGTGCCCTTTGCATATCTTCAGCTAAAGGCTGTGTGAAACCAAGCTGGGAAGTAAGTTTCTGATGTCAGGAGCTGCTCAAGGATTGCTCATTGAGAATGACTTTCACCAGCTCCCTCTCATGTCTGCCAGATGGCAGCTAGTTTAAGCTCTTTGACAAGCATTGGCTGCCAATTGACTTCTGTTGCAAGCCAACGGGTAACCCCTGCACATCAACAGCGCTCAGTTAATGTAATCTCTGCGTGAAACAACTTTTAACTCCTGGGCAACTGCATTTCTGTGCTAACTAGATACACATTTCAAATTGTTTAAAGGCAGAGCCTGTTTGTGGGGTGTTTTGCAGTATTTCGACATCTAGAATGACAAAAAAAAATGCTACCGCAGCAGAAAGGAAGGACAAAAACAAAGAACAAAATGATGAAAAGCATTTTTCAACGTCTTAATATCTTAATAAAATAGATTCTAGAACAGCTCCATATAGCGAACTTAGGCAACAAATGATGGATGTCAACTTGATCAAGCAGGCTTGTCAGATGTTAAATATTTTTTTCTAAGAAACAAACTTTAAAACTTGTTCACATTCTGAAATATATAGTTTCAGCAGCATTAAAGAGCTATGGCTTATAGTATGAGAATATATATATATATATTTAAAAAAAGAGAGTTAAAGAATCTATATGATGTATTTCTATAGGAGTAGGATATAAATATGGTCACACTAAAAGAAATACTGGAAAGGAAGAGAAATAATGCAAAGAAATAGTAAAAGAATTCAAATCAATCTTTGGGAACTGCAATGCCACCAAGATGTAATCATCCTCTTCTAATTAGACCCCCTGTTCAAGAACATTACATCCTTCAGTACAATCAATTGAATGTCTCTCAAAAGCACTGAGAGAAAAATCACTATTAAAAAAATCACTAAAAGAAAAAAAAAATTCAAGCACTCCTGCTGGGATCTAGTCAACTAGTCTACCCTGCCAATAGACAAATACCCCTGGGACATCAAAGAAAATTTGTCACAAGTAATGAGTAAATAAAAGACTTTACAACAAGACCTTCTCTCTTATATGCAGCTGGATCTAAAATGGCAGTCCTCTCACTCTTGATTTGCTTGGATTTATTTTATTTTATTTATTTTTTTGTCTACTCGTTTGTTTGCTTTGCTTTGAGGCCAAGTTTGAAATAAATTAAACCACTGCCAGGGTGAAAAAAAAAAAAAAAAAGCTGAACAAACTGAAGAGAAAAAAAAAAGTAGACTCAAAAAACACAGGAACCAAAAGGAAATACTTACGCAAGCACTGAGGTACTTCACCACTCCATGTACCATTCCCAACACAAGTCAAAACAGCAGGAAAGGAGAGTTCATAGCCTGGAGAGCAGACATAGCTAATGCTAAATCCCCAGTCAAAGTTTGTTCCTTCCAACCTTCCATTGGAGATCTGGGGAGGTGTTGGGCAGGTAACAGCTGCAATGACATTTGAAATAATTAGGCCCAGCTGCTGTAAATATCCCCAGTGTACACAATTACTAGAAGAACCATATGTGCTAATTTCACCTTTTTTGGAGGACAATACAGTGAGGACATGCTATCTTCTTCACTATATTTCTACTACATTACCTGAATTGAACACTTTTGGTTGCTTCCATTTCAGAGACATGTTATAATGGCTCATTGATAAAGTGTCTTATACAAGAGAGCAGGTTAAATCAAGCCAGGAAGGAAGACTATGCAGAAAATCATTGCATAGACTATGAAATGTACAATATTTAAAATAATCTTGAAGATATACTACAAAATAATTTTGGTTGTCTATTTAGGAATCATTGAGTAAAATTATTTTTAGTTACACAGTGTAATAATCAAATGATTTATGCCTGTTAACTAGGCATATTCTAGATATTAATGCTTATTATTATTATTATTATTATTATTATTTGCTTCCTCTCACCAGAAAGCATCCAACTTTAGGCTGCAGGGAGAAAACACAAGAACTTTCCTCCTCTTGAAAAAATCAGTATTACTACCTCTAAAAAGATGGCTACAAGAAGTGTTTCTGCACAGCCCTTCGTTCCCAGGGAAAAAAAAAAATCCATCCTAAGAAAATAGAGCAAAAAAAGGAAAAGGAAAAAAATCCTAAAAAAAATCATTGCTAAGAAAGAGAATTGAAAAGCACCACAGGAGGACACAGCAATAAATGAACATAAATGTGGTGATGAGGATAAAAGGGCCCTTAGCTACAGAATGGAGTAGTAATAGACAATTGCTAATTGACAGCTAAAGGAAAAAGCATCTAAAAGAAGACAGATGAAAGAAAATAGGTATGAATCGGAACAGGGAAAATTAGTGAAAAAGGTACTAGAATGAATAAAAAAGACAAAGAGAAAAGCAATGAATAAATAGGGAGTGAGGAGAGCAGCAGTGGGAGAAGGTGTGAAAACAAAAGAGAAGGAAAGTGAAACCAGTTTGACTGAATTCAGTGGAGACAGTTGGGGTAAATGAGGAGAGATGATGACTAAAAATAAAGGAGAGAAAAGAGAGGTCACAGGAATGGAGGAGATGAAATGTTGCACTCATAACCTTTATGCTTATGTTCAGTCAGCTGTCATCCCACTTGCTTAAGGAAGTCAGATGTACTAGATCAGGAGCAGGGTGTCTTTGAATGTGATCTCCAGAAGATTCACGAGATACCATTTTTATTATTAGACATTTCAGAGAGAGAATCACTCCTATCTGCATCACAAAGATGTTCTGCAGCATCATTCATCACTGTTTGAGAATTATGGATGAAAGCAGGACTATTATTAGAATAATCCTTTGGCAACCAGGCCCTATTTTTGAGACTCTGAGACTTTGCCATGCTTTCATGATGTTTTAATAAAAGCCAAGCAGAAGAAACACAGAAATCACAGTATGTGGTAAAAGTGCATTTACATTCTCCAAGAGCTTCGTTACTAGTCCTTCTAAAAAAACTTTATGTTTTAGCTTCTGAGCTGTTAACAATATGGAAAGAGACAGAAAAGGAAGAAAAATAAGGGTAGTTCCAGGACTGGCTGTGGGGAGAACATCGCAAGGCAGAATGCTCCACCTAATGCTTTTTTTATCAAAGAGTCAGCCAATACATACATTTTTCAGGTTTTCAGATGAAAGCAAGCATTACAAAAAGCAAATCAGCAGAAAAAAAAATCAGTGCTTGAAATTTATATTAAATTGCAGATATATTTTGTTCAACTAGCCAAAGCTGGAGAATCATTTATATCTTCAACAGCATTGAGACAATTATGTATTTATTTTCTGGGCAGTTCATTTTCCAGTTATTTTAACTAAATGGTACCCAAGTATCCTGGCATTTTATTTTGATAGTATGAACTAGTTAATATACATTTCAAATACACTACTGCAGATCATATATTCCTTTTAATTGTAAAGTCCAAAATGTGTGTGTGGGAGTTAACTCCTAATATTTATTATTATTATTATTACACAGAAACCAGTGTGGAATAGCAGGAATCTCCGAGAATGCTAGAGATTCTATATATGGTTATTATTTAGGATATTTATATAAGTCATAAACATGTATGGCCTAAAATACAGAGTGACTCAAAAACTCTAATCAGAGTCTTTGAGCTGGGTTTTAGCCCTGTGGTCCTTAAGAATTAGAAGCTGCGAAGCACATCATAAATTCTTAATTTGTCTTAAGATCTCCAAGGTGTACAGACACTCTTGCAGACAAGGTACTGGTCAAGTGAACCAGTATAGCCATTGTCAGGGAATTTTCTAGAAAGATTCAGAGTTTGCCAAGTATACAATATGATGATGCTCAAAGGTGCACATCTAATAAAGGAGGGATTAGCAAAAAATCTTAGCATTATAGTGCTATGGGGTAACGCAAAGAAATATGGCTATTGGGAATGTGCAGCTGTATATGACCTCAGCCTTTCCCAGAAGCTTCTATCTTCTGCTTAATTGACATGTTTTTATTGACCATGATATCAGCAAGTCACCTTGATATGACTTAATGTTTCTCAGCTTTATTTAGAAACATTAAAAAAAGTAGAAACATTAAAAAAAATAAAGTATCTAAACTGTCATTTCCTATTAGATAATTCAGCAGCTAAGTAATAAACAGTTCTAGAAAGCCACAAAGAACTATCCAACCTACTGGGTGTCTATAAGCTTATAAAATGAGACAAATAACCAGATGATGAAGTGACAGATCTTGTAGCCAAAAAGCCATATTATATTAAGTTTGGGGCACTAAACAAATATTTGGATGACACACTGCAGTAAACAGAAGATGTAGATGTCATAGAAGTATCTGACAATGAAAATAAATGTTGTACCTTTACAAGCTGGGATTACTCCACTCCATGTGCCATTGCTTGTACAAGTGCGAATTAAGGAGCTATTTGATTCCATTGTATATCCAGGTTGGCACATATATGTAACATTTTGTCCAACAACATAATCATCACCATATCTCATACCATTGGCTGGAATTCCTGGATCTCCACAACTGATAACTGCAAACAGTTAAAGAATATATTTAAAAATCTGAATGTGATTTATTCATATATAAAAGGGGAACAACTTAAGGCAAAAATAATAATTTATTATGAAAAAATAGGAGAAAAAGTATGATGCATCTGTTTGTCCTATCAACAGAAGATAAACATATATGTCATCTAACATAACATGTGGAGTTATACAACAGTTACATTTTGGAGATAATCAATACACCTGTTCAAAAAATAGAAGTAATGGACTGTACAATTTTAATCAGTAAAATTGCAAGACCTTAAAATGAAAAGGAAAACTAGCAAAGAAATTAGCCATATGTTACTGTCACTGATACCCATAAATGTTCATATCAATTTAGAACTTCATAGGTAAGAAAGCAGGTATAACTGTATCATTTACTTTTCCATGTCTTCATCTTGACAGCAAATGGCCCAGAAAATCTGTGGTATATGTCTACAAAAAAGTCCATCCAATGACCCAAATTTGGTCCACCTTTACTTAAGTCAGCATGGTATGTGAAAACCAGCTTAAATTGTGAATGCTGGCTGGTGGCAGATAATACTGCCTTGGGGGTGAATGCTCAAAACTGAACTGAACTCCCAACTGAACTCCCAAGTAGAAGTCTGCTATCTGCAAACTGCAACAGTTATGCACTTGTTGCAAGTTTTGATAATGCTCAATGAAATCTCCAAGTAACAGAGACAGACCCAGGCTGATCATGCATTGTGCTTCTGCACGTAGACTATTTAGACTAGAAAACTGGGGGCTTTAGGGTCTAGAAAGAAGATGGTGAAGATCCTGACTGGAGAAAAGAATCTGAAAGTTGGACAAGACCTTTGGGATGGAGGGACTCATAGAGATGAATACTCCAATGCCCAGGGTCCTTGTCTGGTAACAGTTGAGGCTGGTAAGCACTGGAGCAGTACAGCAGGTCTCCCTGAATATAACAGGGAAGCTATCCAGGGGGTGTGTGAAATAATCTAACAGGGTACAATATGTCACAACTAATTTAGTGATCTTTATAATTCGCAATGAAAGAATAATTAAACAAAAACTCTAGTCTCTAACATATGTTTGCCAGGACTGGCAAAGCAGCTGTTCTCATGCTTACAATGGATTTTAGGACATATATACATACATAAGTATGTCTAAGGACATAAGTACTGCAACATGAGTAGAACAAGCTTATTTTATCATCTTAATTTCTGTCTTAATTTGGGTTTCTACAAATGTGTGAAGTGGCCGACTCTACAAAAAACAAAGTATTATTTTAAAGTATTTTAAAATGTTATATATATATATTTTATTTTAAGCAACAGTTATACCTCTGATGATGGTGTGTTTTGTCAAAATGATAGGCACAGTCACTTGTCACATAACTGTAAAATACGCATACATGCTATTAAAAGATGAACTAGGAAATGCAGTAAAGCAGGAGCAGATGGACTTTGAAATAAACTGTTTCTAAATGCCTATTATGAATGTGAGAAAAGCTGAAATAGCTTCTGTTAGCTGACTAACCAAAGCAGGCATAAGGTTAATGAAAAGGCCAAACAGAAACTGTTATCTGAGAGAGGGGCAACAGTTCTGACCTAGGAGTCACTGCAAGAAGACTTCTCAAGTGTTCATTTAGAGGTTTTTCTTTGCCTGTCCTCTGCAAGACTAGAATATACTGGAACACCACTAAGTTTTCACAACAAGGAAAAGCAATTGAATGAATAATATTTAGACATGACATGTCATAAGGTATAAACAAGATTAAAAATATACACTAAAGGAGAATTAATGTAGGTAGCTCCTGTAACCACACAGCTGCCTTAAGATGTGACAACGGGCACTGCATTGTATTGTGTTAAATCAACATATCGTTCATCTTTTAATAGTGCTACAATTTTAAAACATATTATATGCATAGAATTATTTATGAAGCAGATCAAGAGAAAGCTGGAATCTCTTTATATATTTGCAATCCACTTCTACTACTTTGCTGTCTTTCAGAGAAGAGCAAAGCAAAACAAATTCACTGAGTCTTACTTGTGCAGTTTGGCAAGGATCCAGACCACGTTCCATTGGCAGTGCATTGTCGTACAGACGATCCAGAAAGTACATAGCCTTCCATGCATGAATAAATTACTGAATTAGAGAATGTAGTTCCATCTATACGAAATACTTTTCCATTAGCGGTTGTCCCTGGATTACCACACTGTACAGCTATAAAGTAAAATGTTAAATATGTATAAAATATCTTAAGCATCTTAAAATATAAAACAACAACTTCTAATTCATCTTCATTAAAGATAAGATCAAAGAATAAGGGAGGAAGTTTGGTTTGACTAAATATATCCTTAGTAAGAGAGTAACACACAAACACATACATATATATTTACTTTGTTTCAAGGTTGCAATCACTCACCAGAAAGGATACTACAAAACCAGCTTGTGAACTAAGCTTTTGAAAATCAGATGACTTTCTAATATTGATAACACAGTCATATAGCAGATAATAAGAGAACAGGTTCTTAAATTATTTACTGCTATTCAGAAGCTTTCCTCTCAGAAAAAGAATTGTTGGAAATTATTTCCTATTTTTGAATCAAAGTGATTGATGGAACAAATGATTTTCTCTAGATATGCTGTTAGATCTTTCTTTTATGGTGATATACATTACTTAAAATTTGTATACTGATTTATTCCAAATATTGTTTTTCAGCATTTCATTTTCTGCTAAAAATAATCATAAGTCAAAAATATTAATCAGTAAATAAAATTTGTAAACTGAGCATTTATCTGATTATTTATCTAATGAAATGCTGATGTTGTCATTTCTACAAAAGTTGTCTTTTCATCTTTGGAGTTCGGACACATTGTAGTTTCAGTTAAAGAGTAATAGCTTTTTAAGAGAAAAAAACCTTTCAACAAAAACAGAGTTCTACAGGTATTATCTACTACTTTTTTCTGCCTAGTTCTTTAAATAGGTACATACAGTTTGAAGACAACTCAAGATTGACAAAAAGTGCAATATACTTTTTTTTTCCTCAAAACTCTAAAAACACACTATTTCTTGGGTAATAGTAGGTAATACTGGTTTTCTGACAAATATATAAAAAGTTTTAAAAAGCGTGGGTCTTGCCTGGCTTACCTTTGCACTCAGGTTGTCTTCCTGTCCAGCTTCCATTTGCCATACATGTTCTTTCTTCTGAACCATGCAGAATATACCCAATGTCACAGCTGAAATGTACTGTGTTTTTAATTTTAAAACTGTTCTCTTCCCTAGAACCATGACCTGGGATACCTGGATCACCACAAGAACCTGCTGTATCACCTAGAATTTAAAATGAAAATATTAGACTAAGTGTGAAATATGATTATAATGCTTATTTTTATAATATGTTATATTATTACATTATACATTAATATACTAATACTATAATGCTTAAGATCAACTTTCTTTTTAATCATGATGTTTATAAAGGTAAGGCAAATCCTATCCTTGTCCTGTCACTGGGTAACCCCGAGAAGCGTTTGGCCCCATCCCTTTTATATTCTCCCCTCAGGTGAAACGAGCCCCTGTAGAACGTCCTCATCAAGCATTCTCAGAATCGTATTAACTTGAAACAATTTATGTTTTGGCCCATGGCTGTTCAACCTATGGTTTTCTGTGAATGGTTTCTTATACTAAAAAAAAATTTTAAAAAGTCAAAGGCCATAGTTTTCTTGGAGCATATCTGCATATTTTGTACTAAGTTATAGTAGTATAAATTAAGAAGAAATATTTTAAGAACTAGCAAGTAAGATTTAATTCAATTACTGAAAAGCTTTGTATTGCAGGTTTACATTACAGAAAATGATATTAAAATATTTTGGTGCAAAATCAAAAAACTTGATATTAATATTATTGCTATTAAAAATATTTTGATGAAAATCAAAGATATAAACAATGTTTTTTGCAGAATGACTATGCTTATCCACTATTTACCTAAGCCTAAGCAGCAATCATCCTAAATGGTTACAGAGAAGTAATAGGCAAAGTCATTTGCTCCAAATGCCCATAGGCGCAAAAGCGACAAATTAAAATAGATTTTTGGCATATATGGGAGTTAGGATGCTGGAGTTATAAACACAGACTGAAAAACAGCTACTCTTGACAATTGATTCTGGGACGATGTGTACAAACTGTATTGTTGGAGTCCCGGGTTGGTCACCTCTTTCAACTAACAAAAACATGTACAAAACTGAATGGAGAAAGAAAGAGAGAGAGAAAGAGAAAAAGAAGACTAGAATGTACATGCCTTGCTTGGAGAAATATGGTCTAACAACAAACACGGTTATACTGCTTTTGATCGGTTATGTCCAAAAAGCTGAACAACTATTGGACACCTATGAAGGTGGTACATGTGCCAGCCTATGGTTTTGCAGGTTAAGCTTACTATATCTTTTATTTCCTTTCATATAGGCTATGTTTCCATCCTTCCCCACAAACTCAGAGAAAAACAACATGAGTCAGCATATCATAAGGTGGTCTGCACAAATACTATAGGCTTGTGAAGATGAGTACATGGCTCTGAAACAGCAGCCTGAAGGTACATGGGAGAATCGCAGAGGATGGTGGAAGACTACTTGGAAAAGCAAACTGGAAAAAACTTGGGATCTCGCATTACCTGTCCACCTCTTACCGAAGCAGTTGACAAACCAGGTGTCTTGTGAATGTCCACCACCAAGACTTTTAGGAGTCAGTTTTATCCCTAGCTACATTATCGTGCTTAAACTGACCCCTTTCATTTAAGAAGGATGAAGCAAGCTGAGGCAGTCACACACAACTACATTACAAACTTTTATAGTAGGTATGTGTAGAAAATATATGGTCCTGTGCATTTTAACACATTTACCATTAGTGAATTATGCAAGTGCATTTAAAAGCCACCTAAGTGCCTCGTTCAAAAGCAGAGGCTCTTAAGTCTAGACTGTTTTTCTGTTTACCCTCATGATTAAGTGACAGAGATCACTGAAGTACCCTATCAGACTCCTTTCAAAATAGATAAGCCACAAAGAACTACAGCTTCATAAGACAAATTATAGCAAGTCAAAGAACATGCCAAGTTTTCAGTGGTTTTTAAGTCTAATGTCCAAGCTGCTCTTGGATGAGTTATGACAGTTAGGCTTTAAAATACTGCTACATCTAAGAATTTAGGGCAGGGCCCTCTAATTATTCTACATTCATACAGTGCACTATAAAAGCCCAGTCTTCAGAAGTGACTTTCCTGGCATTACAACTAAAATAACTTTATTAGCAATAAAAATGAAATAGCCCTTTTGCTGCGCAAAGTAAGAATTGTATATTTCTTTTATAAATGAAATCATGCATACCTAACTACTGCCTAATTTTAATGCCAAAAAAAACTTTATTATTTTGATATTAGGGTAGTAAACTACCAGTTATTTTTGTTGAAGATTACAGAAATACTTTTTCTGAAGGATGAAAATCACATCAAGAAGCAACATTCCACAACATCATAACAGAACACTCTCTTTTGAGCTCATGCATTATGGTTATTTGAATAAGTGGTTTTCACAGTTGGCCGCAAACTGCTCTTTATCCACATACGTTACAAATACTCAGTGCTCATTCAATTTTCATGAAAAGAGGGTATCTAGCCCACTTAAGTAAGTGCACAACCACTGTGGCACCTAAGAGTGATTATGAGTTACTACAAACTGCTGCAAATGACACACATGTGATAACCAAAACTGTGCTTTCAAATGCCAACAGATATCAATGGGACACCATAGTTTCTCTCTCTCTCTCTCTCTCTCTTTGAGGCATGAAACGAAGAGCCATGTATCAAGAAGAAAACTGCTTTAGGGATGATGTGACAAAATTTGGTCATATTATATTAACTCAGTTAGTGCTGAATTCTTTTTTTTTTTTTTTTTTGTGAGTGAAGCATTTTGTATTTTTTTGTTAATATCACAAAACACAACGTCCCAAGTTTATCTATATGTATGAAATGGGAAAATCAATTATCAAATCTAGTTATGAGAAAGGTTCAGGTACTCAGCAAATTGTTTCAAACTTTTGAATGTAGTGCAAGATGTTATTACTATTATTACTATTTCTGTTTCATAAATTTGTATTCCTAAACTGCAGCTGATGTAATCAGTTTATGCCTGAATACACCAAAGAGATGAAGCAGGAGAAATAAAAGATATTTTGAAGAGAAACAGTCATACTAATGCTTTAAATATCCTTATTTAATTATTATTAATGCTTTAAATATCACAAGGGCAAGTGCAAGGTCCTGGGCCTGGGGAGGAATAACACTATGCATCAGCACAGGCTAGGAATTGACCTGCAAGCAGCTCCGCAGAGAATGACCCGGGCATCATGGGGACCAACAAGTCGACCATGAGGCAGCAGTGTGCCCTTGTGGCCAAGAAAACCAATGAGATCCTGGGGTGCATTAAGAAGAGCGAGGGAGGTGATCAGGTGGAGGGAGGTGATCCTGCTCCTCTACTCGGCCCTGGTGAGGCCACCTCTGGAGTATTGTGTCCAGTTCTGGGCTCCACAGTGTAAGGGGGAGCTACTGGAGAGAGTCCAGCGCGGGGCTACGAGGGTGATCAGGGCCTGGAACATCTGCCCTATGAGGAAAGGCTGAGAGAGCTGGGGCTGTTCAGCCTGCAGAAGGCTGAGACAGGATTTGATTAGTGTGTATAAGTACTTTAAGGGAGGCAGTGAGGAGAATGGGGCCAGCCTCCTCTCAGTGGTGGCCAGTGACAGGACAAGAGGAAATGGCCACAAGCTAAAGCACCAAAAGTTCCACAGGAACTTAAGAAAATTTCCTAACAGTGAGAGTGATAAATCATTGGAACAGGTTGCCCAGAGAGGTTGTGGAATTTCCTTCTCTGGAGATCTTCAAAACCCACTTGGATGCAATCCTGTGTAACATGCTCTAGGTGACCCTGCATGCAGGGGGGTTGGACTAGATGACCTCCAAAGGTCACTTCCAACCTTAATGATTCTATGATCCTTGACTTTTTAATGTGATACTGGTGTAACAGTATTGTCAGACTTGCATATCAGGTAGTATTCACCTCTTACTTTTGAATAGTTGCAACTCGAAGTAGAATATGTCCCTTATTTTCTTCCTATTTCTTACCTTTGAAGATATCTGAGTATTGTTGCAGATAGTTAGGGAACGGCGGCCGGAAGATATCGTGCTGTACGGAAAGATAGGGCCCCTAATAGCCAATAGTGTTTAGTCTATGGTGTAAGCAGACGGATGTGACGTTGTAAACCTAGCTATATAACACCTTGTTACCCATCAATAAACGCCATTTGCCGTCCACCACATTTGTGTCAACTAGCTGATAGCCCGAGTGGTTTGGGGGTGGTCGCCGTGCCGTCCCTGAACCAGGACGCTGCAGCCAACTGCAGCAGAACTGCAACAGAGTATTTTAAATTAAATAGGTCTGAATAAACTCCAGAAATAAGTGTTTTTTTTTTTTTTTAATCTATGTAATGTCAACCAGATGATAGCAACAGCAACACCAACCAACCCCAGTATTTATTAAAAATGAAGAGAGATAACTTGATTAACTTCTATCAGAATCCATATACACATATATTCTAATACCAAAAATGAGACTTGGCCAACTCTTCCAAATTTGTGTGACATGGATTTCTATTTTTCACTTGTTCTGTGTTGTTAAACAGATTCTAACTGAAGTTGTAAAAGAGAATAGTCCTAAACTTAAAGGTGATTGGAAAGAATATCTTGACTTTGGTAAGAGCTACTCTTAAAATGATCAGCTGTTTTCCTCTCAAAAGCAAGTATCCTATCTTGAAATAATGTGGAGCCCACTGGGCCTTGTTAAAAGGATGCATTTAAGATATAACTGAGGTGGTTTCAAGCCAGTAGTTATTTTGCAAGTTAAGAAAATAAGCCCATCATCTTGAAGAGATAATGATGCAGGGTTTCCCTGTGGAAATTAATACACTTACCATGGGTAACATAAAAAGTATGTTCAAAACAAACTAGTTCCCTCCCCATTCCACTGAACGTGAAATTTCCCATTTGTGCTAAATGTCATTGGGAAAGTTCAGCTTCCCCAAATGATTTTCTTGTTAATTGTTTTTTTTTTTTCATGTTTCTTAAGATAGCATTTTAGCTATGCATAGAATTTTCAAATTTTAAAAAAACACCTTTCTGACAAAACCCAGATAATTTCAAAACAGTTTCAGGGCATTCACAGTAATTCAAAAATATTACCTGAGCAGTGAGGAAGAGAACCACTCCAGTGTCCATTCAGCTGACATGTACGAGACGACTGCCCTAACAGTGATCGTCTACCTGTGCAGCTATAATGAACAGTAGACCCAAAGGTATACTTATCTCCAGACAGGACCGCATTAGGAGGAATGCCAGGATGGCCACAGTCAATCACTACAATGCATAATTATTGAAGATAAAAAAGGGTTATTATCACTGATCAAATAGTTTGTACTTATCAGAATGCTATACGCCAACTTTGTGAAAAAGTTGACCTTTATAGGGCTTGGAGGAGGGCCTAAAGTATGTCATTAGAAACACAAAATATATTAATGAACAAAACCTATAAAACAAGTGTTTGTATGACTCAAAAAGACATATAGATACCGTTAGCATAAAGTGACTAAACATATTTTTATATTTACACTAAGATAAGCTTTGTGGAATGAATGTGCACACATTCATGCTGATCTACCTAGTCTTCAGAGAAATGGTGTGGAAAGAGGGCACATATATAAGCCATTGCTGAGGTAAAGAATACTCAAACTTGCATCTCTGATGGACTGATCCTAAATCATTGAAGCCCATTATGTTAAGAAGAAGAACTATGAAATTTTGTTATCAGCTTTAATGTAATGCTTAGGTACTAATTTTCTACTGATTTAAGTTCTGAATGCTTAAAATTTTGTATGTCAATGAATAAAATACTTGATTAGATAGTCCTAACCAAGGTGCCTAGGCACCCTCAGTTGATATAAACTGCACAGACTTTTCAGGGAATTCCTACATTATCCCAGTTGTATAACTGGTCATGGATTGACTCAATTGTCATCCTGTTCATTTTGATCAGTTATTGATAGCTATTTTTATATTGTGATTAATTTTAGTACTCTCATAATTTTGCCACTCGTGATTTCCTCTAACAGATTGCACAGACCACGTCACAACTGTTAGCCTATATATACTTAATCCTTCTATCTGGCTTAAATTTCATAAAGCACTTAACACAGAAAATTGGAAAATTTAACACAATATTTTGAGTCCTTTAGTTGGCTTTCAAATTACAGAAAATTCTGATTTTTTTCTGATTTTCACAGTCACTTTTTCAAGAACAAAAACAGGCTAAGTGATAGAAATTTCGCCAATAATCAAGATAATGCCATTGAAATAATTTTATCAGCCTCCTACCTGTAAATTTTTACAGTAGATAAAAATGATAATAATAATAGGAAACAAAATAGTGAAACTTTTGTGAAAGTTTTCACTTTTGTAAAAATAGTGAAAGAAAAAAGAAAGGGGTCTTATGATCATTACAGAGAACATAAGCCTCTTTTAAGCTTAACAGTTAGCATCAACAACTTATTAAGGAGCATATCCTTACATGTAACAACAGTAAACAAAAAGACCTAAGAATTCAGAGCAAGGAATAATTTAGAAGGTAATCAAAGATGTAAAGTTCTGAAAACAGACAGTTAAAATTCATAAGAAAAATACACAGAATGTATTGCATGTTTCTTTTTTTTTTCTTAATTTTACACTTGTCATGTGGCATGTGTTCTTGACCAAAGATACTTATGTTATTTGTAATTACACATCATAAAAGCTACAATGTATAGCTGTGAATTCCATAGTATTTGCAGTTCCCTAAATCATACAATGTAGTTTGCATCAACACTTCATCATCTTCTATAACATTTTCATTAGGATTTTTTTTATCTCTATCAGTAACTTGATCAGGGTTGAAGAATTAAAAAGTATACACTGAAGTTTCTCTAATAGGTGGAAACAATTTCTACCACCTGCCTTAAAGTTGGGAATGCCTGTATAGTAGACATCCTTACTTGCAGGAAAAATGTCAGGACAAGGTGCTGTGATAGAATTATTGAGAGGATGGCACATGTGCCAGCAAAGCCTGGTTTATGTTATTTGGATTTCCAGCTTGGAAGGTGTGGATTTTATGTACTCACATCTCTGCAGTTTAGAAATAACAGATCAAAGCATATATCTCAAAAATAAATTGAGAATACTACCTTGCAGTATAGAATACTGATTTGGTGACTGTAATTTGAGGTATATATTCTGAGCAGATCTTTATTTGAGGTACACTTCAAATATAAGGTATTTTCTAGCAACATATGCTTAAGTAACATGTACCCCTGAAAGCCTTTAATTCAAAGGGAAAGTAGAAAGACTACCATGACCCAAGCCACCACTGACTTCTGCTTCTTACGCCATTTTATAGCAGTTAGGAGAGGAGATCTTGTTGTAGGACAACACATTTCAAAGGAATGCAGTTACATTACAGGGGAATAGCTTTTTCATTTTAACTACGTGCCTCTTGAAACTCTCTTTTGGTATTTCAAAGAAGGTAAGTACTTGGAGCTCAATTACAGAAAGATTGAAATCCGGCTAGGTAAAAAGAAAAATAATTGAACCTAGGTTAAAGAAAAACATCTAGTCTGCTTTCCACTTCTTTTCTATTGCTCTCACACTGCTAAAACAAGCTGCCTTGTAGATGTCCTAAATAGAAATAATTTTGCAAATCTTTGCAGAAACAGGGCTCTTGTAGACAATCTACAGTAGTTATATCAGAATAGGTTTTAATAAGCTTTGTGCTTATGAATTTAATGTGGATAGTGCTCCGGTTACAATTCATTGACCTCTCTATATAAATGACACAAACCTGAGGGTGCCCTTTCAAAAGTTCATATTGCACTTCCATTCCAAAAGGCCAGTTTAATATATGGGAAAATCTGTATTATTCTGATAATGCTGAGTGAAGACTGAGGGTGACAATCACAAAAGAAGACCAAAAAAGAATAAGTTTTTGCTGCTTTACCTTAAGTATTTCTTTCCCTTTGGAGGTGTGTCATTTAATATCTGTTTGACTTTCTAAAATGGTAATGGTATCTTATAATTTAATGTGAAAAAGTTGGAATCTTGTTATAAGTTTAACTGTGAATTTCAATCAAGCAATTATTCCCATTGGAGATAAAGGCAACTTCCAGAAATAAATATTTTAAAAGTTAAAAGAAATAAGAGTTTCGTTTTTTTCCTGATGGGGGGTAGGGAGGGGAGAGTGGGGGAGAGAATAACAAAACTGGAGAAATCTCAATTGATGAAAACTAATAGAGGTGAAATTGAGAAGTATTATCTACAAGACTGCAGATATTCTGCGTTCTTTGCTAAAATCAGTAACAACATAGCCATACTACTTGAACTACTCTCGAGAGCAGAGAACATCATTATCACACACACAAAAGCCTATATAAATATGATTAAGTGTAAGTATACACATTATCTACTTACTAATGCATTCAGGTAGAGGCTTGTCCCAGTGGCCATTTGGCTGACAAATTAAAACAGAAGAGCCAAACAAAAAATATCCAGGATTACAGTCATAAAATACCACTGTGCCATATGTGAAATTTCCATGTTCAATTTTACTCTCTCTTATGGAATTTGCAGGAATTCCAGGATCAGAACAGTTGACCACTAAAAAGAAAAATAAATAAATAAATAAATAAAACATAGACTTTAGACTCATACAAATACATTATACCAGAACTTCATACATGACCACTTCATATATTTTCCTTTTTCCTTTCCTAATATGCGCTTCTATACATAAGAAACTCTGTATATATATTCCTATAAGAAATTTCTGATGCTCTGCTATCCTGATTTTATATATAATGATACTGAACTAGGAAGATCATTTGAAATCAGGAGATGCCAGATTCAGACCAAATAAAAGGAAATGTTTCTTCACAGAGAGTCATGAAGGCCTGTAATATTTGCTACTAAAAATGACTAGACTTACTAATGGACTCAGGATTTAGAGAGGGTATCCAAGCAGAAGGGCATTACCTAGAAATCTCTGGCACATGAAATTCTGGACAACTCTGGAAATGGTGTCATTCACTATATTCTGCTTCTGTATGCTTATCCTTCCTTTGACATAAACTATTGTCCAAAGCTGATTATGGTGCTAGATGTGCCTTTGGTCAGACCCATAGAGCCATTCAAACATCCTCATGTTCTCATATTACCATTTTGATAATTAAGCATATAGCTGAGATAGATGTTTTGAGCTCAAAGACAGATGGTTAATTAGGTAAGAAAATGTGCTAGAAAGCTCTGTAGCTTAAAAAGAAATAAAGCTGTTGCCAGATTCAAGACAAAATATGTTCTCTTACCTACATTACTCTGTGTAGTTACTTTATGTCTCACCATCTTCTCTTTACTCACCATCCCAAACACTGCAGTCTGCTTATGTGCTCTTTCTAGCAGTTCTCAAATCCTGATGCCTTAAGACCAGGATGCATAATTTTTTCATAGCAAGAACTAATTTACTGCTTGGGCTTGACCTCCTTAACATTCAGTGACAGGCCAGGCTTTTTATTTGCATTGATGGATAGACTTGGTAAGCTTTTATTTTTCTCCTTGAGAAAAAAATGAGTTATATTTCAATTCATTTTCTGTTTTGCCAATAGGAATTTCATAATAATTGAACACTCATCTTTAAGTTATTAAGCATTAACACTGAATAAAATGAAAATTATTTATTAATTCAACATTGGTCTGATATATTGAACACCTCAAACAAAACAGAAGTAGCTCTGAGCATTTCAATAGTTTTCAGCAATTATTGGAGCTGGCTAGGAAACAAACTATTTAGCAGACCTGTAGAGAGAGAGTATAATAATATTAAGTGCATTGCTGAGTTTATCTTGTGATTGCAAATAAATCCTTCACAAGGGTGTGCAGCCTTTTCTGTAATATTTATTGCACTTTAGGCAGTTTTCAAGTATACAAAGTAAATTCTTTTCACTTTTTTTTCACTTTTCACTTCAATACAAACAAAAAACATAATAGAACAAAATCATAATAATCAGAATCGATTTTGCTGCAGCATACTAACATCTGTAATGATGTTCTGCACAAAGTTCATTCTGTAATTTAAAGTCTTTTCTAAAACTAATATAAGATTTCAGGACTGTGTAAAATGGAAAAAAAATCCTCAATGTATTTGCTGAATCCCTGATCTTTAGATGCCAGTGGCATACCAGATGACAGGTTAATACATTATTGTGCTAGACTCTTACACCAAGGTGTTATAGTAGCTGGACTAAGTTTAAATTTATTAATACGCCATGCATGTTTTATACTGTAAATTTTTTAAAAAAACCTCATCAACAAATAACTTTTTTGAAAACAATCTTGTGCATGTAGAACAGACTTACTGAAATATGAGTCATGTTTCATTAGCATTTTGATACTGATTAGTGATATGACTTTTCAATTTTGTCTTGACAATGTCCCTTTACCTTCAGTTTATTTTCCAACCTTAATTTTCTGACTCAGTTGGAAATGGGTAAGTCTTTGCATTCATACCTTTGCATATGGGAGGTGGATGGCTCCACTGCCTGTTGGCCTGGCACTGGGCTTTCATTGGCCCTTGCATAACATACCCAGTGTTACACGAGAACGTCACAACGTCGTTGAAGTTGAAACCATTTCCACTTGTTCTTCCATAAATTGGACTGCCAGGGTGACCACAGCTAACAGCTAGAGCACCCAAAAACAAAGAAACAAGACGAAGACAGAAGCATGCTGTTATCGCTTTTCATGTTTATGAGTAATTGTTAAAGGTTATATAATGGCAGGTTCGAAATTGTAAAGTAATGAGCACTTTTTATAAAATAGTGACATTCCTCTGAACCCAGTAAGTGAGGAGTAAGTGAGGAATATGATGTAGATATTCAGCATTTTGTAGAGTGAACTACTCATCTTCTAAACATATTGGCAGGGACAAAAGTAGACTTAAATGAAAAAAATTCCTTTCTTTAATGAATGAACCTTGCTTTGTAAAAATTATAAAACACTTTCTCTAAACTACTTAATTTTATTAGATCTAACATATGTTCTCTTTCTTGCTTTATGCAATCATCTTATCATAATAACTGCAAAAGAAGCCTGTTGATAGAATGCAAATTAATTAAAACAACAAAAAAAGTGTAAAATACTTTAAAAACAATTATAGTGTATAAACCAATCACAGCAAACTCTATGAATCAATACACATGCATATATACTAACAATGTACAGTAGTAATACATCTGCCCATTGTACAAGTAAGAGCCATGCTGAATTCAAATTAGAAAAAATCATAATAATTACAATTTAAACATGTTGTCTTCAAAATTCCATTAAAACATATAGAAGAGTTAAAAAGATCAGGAAAGGTGATGTGTCTACATTTCATTTGAATATTTAAAGTAGAGCCACTTCTAAAAAACACATCTTAACTTTAGAGACGGACCCTGTTTATAACAGTATGCCCTCTGTAAGTCAAATCTTTTTCCCATGTCTTGTACCCTTTTCTGAAATGCTGTATTGCACATTCTCTTGTGTTCAAAAAAACACTTTCCGATTTGTTTAGAGAAAGAAACAATGATTACTTTTTCTGCTCTTAGCAGATCTGGAGGCAATTTTTTTTTTTGTTCTAACAGTGACATTAACAACATAATTTAGAAATTCTTGATTACCCACGTCATCTTTTTTTTTTTTTGTCTTAAAGGTTATCTATAAAGAAGCATATTTCCTAATGTTTATTTGAAACATAATAAAAGGAATTAATGAACTATTAATAGACCGAAGTGCAAACCAAATAAATACATTAAAATGACTGTAATAAAGTCCTATGTAAAACTAGTGTTATGTGGAACAAATGAATAAACTGTCATCTAAAACAATGAAGAAAGTGAGCAAAATGGGTAATGAATTAACAGTGAAGCAGCTAGCATGATGATACATTTAGATAGTTTCTGGCAAGGTTTTCTGCTACAGAAATGTAGCAATATAGCACATTTGCAGGTGGACTAATGCAGTTTCAAAACACTGATTTTACTGAACCTGAATTATTGAACAATGGTTGTAATTCAATTAAGAATCCCTTGAGAACATCCTAACTTTTCTAAAACATATGAAGTGCTTTCTTTTATTACATAATATCATTTAATTGCTTTGTTCATCCAGTTAATACATAAAAGAAATCTCATTAACAGAATGAAAAATTAATGCCACAAATGCAAAAGGAAAGAAAAAAGAAGACTGTTTTTTGATGTGAATGTTCTAGTCATCAGGCTTGACAGTATAATTCAAACAGAAGTACTTAACTAATTGCTGTGGTTTAAGTAAATGCAAATTACATACCTCCAAAAGCAACTAAGGCACATCTAACCTTCTTTAAATTTGAGCACCTGAGTGCCTAAGAGCCATCACTTTCTGAAGAACATTCACATTCATATTTGAAAAATGGGTATTTAGTATCCAAAAGATGAAGTGCATATTTTAAGCATCAGCATTAAACTTCACGATTGATTTCAGGTGACAGCATACCTTTAAGAATCTGCTTTAAGTGACTTTTTTTTTTTTTAAATGAAGCCAAATTCCAAAGTCATGCCTCATCTTGTCTGACAAATTATTCCTGTAACATAATTTAATATTTGCTGCCATGCTTACTTACGCACACAGGATGGAAGCTGACCAGACCAGTTGTGATCTTGCTGACATATTCGTACAGAAGAACCAATCAACCGAAAACCAGGACTGCACTGGTATACAACTGTGTCTCTATAGCCATAATTTTCTCCAATTACTTGACCGTTGACTATAAGATCTGGAATTCCACAGTGGCCAGCTACAATTTTCAAAATAAATAATAAAAACAAACAAAACTAATGAGTAAATATGCCAGACAAAATTTAATTATACTTCCTTAATTAAAACAAGGAAATGTTGAACTGCTTCTAGTTTTGTCGATTACCTTAATTCAAGAGTTTATTTAAATCAACTTGGAGAAAAATACAGAAGTGAATTTGAATATGTAAGATTTACACAACTAAAAAATCAGGGAAAAAGAAACAGTGAAACAAATGTCATCTATGTCATCAAATTTCCTTTCCAAAATATAAGCATTTTATTTTTATTAAAAAAGACCTGCAAAATTCTATCCTAATTCTGTCTATTTTGGTCCAAATTACAATTAAAATTAGTAAAATAAGGCACTTCCATTAGGAAGTTAGGTCATTACATATATAAGCAAATATGAATGTAAATCTATACAAATATAAATCTATTATCAATAAAAATTCTTGAGGACATTATAAATATATATCCTGACTTATAATGGAAAAAAAAATAACTTGGATGATTTAACGGAACCTTACATTCAGAATTGTCTTCCAGGGCATTCTTTCTCTCTAAGAGAAATCCCAAAAGACTAGCATGCTTGGGCTAAAGTCATCCGTGTGACTATCTGTAAATGTCCTGTAACGAAAAAACCACTGCTGCTTTGGCCTAAGCTCTGTCCCTGTATGCTCAAAATATCTGAAATATTTTATTTACACTACAAAAGTAAATACTGATACACTATGAGTGTATATGTACTTGTACAGTATGAGTGACTGAATGTCACAAACACCCATTTAACCTAGAGGAAATATGGAAAAAAAAAAAGGAATGAAGTGTCATTTCTTTTAGTATATCTCTTAATGAACTCTAGAAAGTCCTAAGGTACTAAACTTCAAAAAACAATGTTGTAATGGAAAGTCCTCTGAGAATATATGAGCTCATGGGGACTGTGATGTATGATTAAGCACTAACTGCAATAAGAAGGAAGGAAGGTGACGAATACGAGCAATTTCATCCAGTACATTGGAGAATAAAATATTATCAGACACCCAAAACTTCTGTGCTTCCCTTCTGCTCTCTTTCCTCTTCCTCCCCCAAAATATCAAACCTCCAAAATATGGGATTGCAACTAAAAAAAGAGATTTAGAAGTAATACTGTTTGACACTTTTTTTTTTTTTTTTTGGAACATTTAGTTCTTATGTAATATTTAAGACTTTTCCTTCTTTTACGTGCTGGCTAGAAACTTCTTGCAGAAAAAAAAATATTGCAAATTTGCAAATATGAGATTTTCTTATTACTTGCCTCTGGCATTTTGGGCCTTGTATTGTCCTTCATTTTATGAGTCATAATACAGTCATGAATTTATAGATAGTGTATGAATTGTGGCACAAATTAAAAAGATGGGTGTGATTACAATTCTCTATGAGGAACAGAAATCCAAACTTACAACTCTTTGTGGGAACATCATAGAATCATAGAATGCTTAAGGTTGGAAGGGACCTCTAGAGATCATCTAGTCCAACACCCCTGCACACATAGGGTCACCTAGACCACGTGGCACACGACTACATTCAGGCGGGTTTTGAAGATCTCCAGAGAAGGAGACTCCACAACCTCTCTGGGCAGCCTGTTCCAGTGCTCTGTCATCCTCACTGTTAAGAAATTTTTCCTTAAGTTCCTGCGGAACTTGTGATGCTTCAGCTTCTGGCTGTTTCCTCTAGTTCTGTCAGTGGCCACCACTGAGAAGAGGCCAGCACCATCCTCCTCACTGCCTCCCTTGAGGTACTTCTAGATGCTGATTAGATCCCCTCTCAGCCTTCTCTTCTCCAGGCTGAACAGGCCCAGCTCCCTCAGCCTCTCCTCATAGGGCAGATGTTCCAGGCCCCCGATCATCCTTGTGGCCCTGCGCTGGGCTCTCTCCAGCAGCTCCACATCCCTCTTGTACTGTGGAGCCCAAAACATCCCTCTCATTTCCTCTGCACTCGTCACAGCATTACCTGAGTACCAGGCATACTTGAAATCTTTGTCATATTCAAATGTTATATTTTATGGAAAAAGTAAGCGTCATAATACATGTTTATATATATATATAAATGTATAATCCCACTTGATTCTCCAGGAAATTCATAATTTGGTCAGTTTGTAAGAGCTCAAGTTCACTATCCTATCACACTGATATGTTAAGAAGCATAGTAGTAAAAACTGAGCTGGAAAAAAATCCACTCTGTATCAGAAGGTCAACCAAACAATTTGTGGTGTTACTGACCATGTTCAGAGGATCATTTTCTAATTGCAACTAATTAGTTCAAATGTTGATAACAACTAATTGGAATAATTTTTACTGTAATGTTTTTATATTTGTCTATAGAAGATGTTATCTCTTATACAAGGATGACTACGTTCCAGCTTTCCCCAAAGGGTGTTTGATAAATTTACAATATTTGACCTGGCCTTTGATTAAGTTTTCATGTTGTATTACAGCAGTAGAGTCAAAGTAGAATACAGCACTGGAAAGGACTATCTCTTGTTCCTTAGTTGAGAGAATAAAACTAGGACAATTTAGCCCACCAAATGACCAATCACAGACTGCAGCTTCTGTTACACTATATGGACAGCACAAAGAAGCAGCTGGAGCAGGTGCAAAATTCACTGTAAATCACCCACAAGTCTTGCAGTAATGTCTAACTTGACCAAATTTAACATTCAGCTTAAAATTCCCATCCTGTTGAGGTACTTCCTGTCAGTCTCATAAACTTCTCAGATGCTAGTTTTGACTCAAAATCTCTCTCTTGATTATATCCACCTATTCTGAAACATCAACTGTATTCCATGACAAATCGTGAACTATTCATTAGTGGGAAAGTAGAATATGCATTCTAAATAGTAGTGCTTAATTCCATTCCCATGTAAAATTTCTAAACTGAAGAAAAAAATAATATAGAAGCACAATTGTAAGAAGAATATTACAAAAAAAGTACGTCTGTTATTTCAAAACTCTGTATCAACTAATAATTAATAATTAAGTTTTAAGGAAATATGTATGATTTACTAATAGGATATGACAGACATCTATGACACATTTTTCATCTCAATATCAAAAAATAAAGAATAATAAAAAAAAAAATAACATTTAGGATTTGTAGGCTTTGTCTCCCTTTTTCACTCTGCTTTCCAGTGCAAGTCTTTTTGTTTGAGACATAAAAAATAAAACAAAATAAAACAAAAGCAAACAAACAAACAAAGAAAAATCATATGAGTTCAGTCCTGTTCGTTTCATTTTCAAAACACCATCTGCCACGTGGTGTTTTGGTGCACGTGGTAGCTGGTTAAGTGTGTTCCGCATAGAAAGTGTCTCTAATGATATACATTGTTCCTGATTAGGGAACTTTTGAGAACATCACTGAAATTTACTGCAATTTATGAAAGCTGAATAAATTCCCTCAGTTGCAATAAAGCCAGAGGCTCGTTAATATTTTTCAGAAGTTTTTTTTTTTTTTTAATTTGTTTTAGTTTTCCACTTTATTTCACACATCCATATTACTGGCCTCCCTCAAAGGAAATGAAGGCCTTCACTTGCAAAAGTAGCTATGGCTAGTTTTTCAATATCAAGACAAAAAAGAGAAAAGGAGGATGTTCAATTTTATTCTATTTTATTCTATTTTTATTTCTCCTATAAACAAGACTTTAATTTCTTTCGGACAACTTTTAGTAGAATTATTCCCTTTTATCATTTTTATCATTTTTCTCCTCAGATATCTCTGGAAAAAAAATCCAAAATGCTCATTTCAAATTAACAGGTGCCTATCCATTACTTCTATGTCTGCAGCTTTTACAATCATTTCTGCTATTAATTGCTTCCATTTTAAAGTTTTAAGGAATTTATGCCAAATAGAAATATTTCACCCTTCTTATTAAGAAACCTTGAAATGATTATTTGAAGTGCCATTCAGTTTGGCTTTTGATGCATTTATTTGAGTGTGTGCATATATGCACACCTGTGTGTATATATAGAGATATAGAGATGAACAGATATTGCACCTGTATAGCTACATTTTGCTGAGGAACTACCACTGCTTCTGAATACTAAGAGACATACTTATTGTGGAAAGGTAAAAAATATCTGCTGTATTCCTTCATTTGAGTTCAGAGTTGTATACCCAAAACTTGTCTTCACTCACTTGCTCATATTCCATGATATTTGTTTTTTCACTCTGGTGACAAGGTTACTCCTTGGTTACAAGGACTAACAATACAGAATCTCACTTCTGCACAAAATAGTGCAAAGCTATAAAGTGATATCATTTTAAAATACTGTTTTCATTTGGGAAATATTCCATACTTTTCCCAATTGAATCATTACTGGGAGAGGAGTTCTGCTCTGAAATCTGGTATGTTGAAACTGAATAAAATCACAAATCTGCTGTTGATATAACTACCCTTCATCCAACATAGCTATAAGGTGCATCTATCTTTTGCTATGAGATAGCTAAAATAATCTCCTAAAATGCAATCCATTTACAAAATTGGTTAGGATGCAAGCTCTGCAGATGGAATGTCTTCACTGGGGACTGAATGCAAACACTGCAGTATGAGTATTATACTGAGAGAGCTTTCTGTAAGTATGAACAAGATCTGACAGAAAAATTACAGCAGAAAACTAAGATACCAAAAGATAAGGAAATAAAGGATTGTAAGTATTATTGGGAGAAGAAACAGAGGTTTAGATTTTTTTTTAATTCCTCTTGTATTCAAGGAACAATTATTCTTCAAATAAATCAGAAAGCAAATACTGATTCTATTGCTGACTTCCACTCCTGTTTAAATGGACCATAAGACATTGAATACTGATTTATCATGGATGAAAGAGTTAATAGTGTTATTGCTATCTAATGGAGTATAGTTTCTTTATCTCTAAAATAATATTCTAATTTTAGGATGAATTACAATAAAGTATATTTTAGTCACTATTTTAGTCACATTAGAATGCTACTATAAAGCAAAATATG